TCTAATAGCTCACCAAATTCTTTCTAAGACTTCAACTTCAATTAAAATCTATCTGCCTGCATGCTGCACATTAAAATGCTTCAAAGAAATAGAACTATAAAGGTAGCCCCTGCCAAACTAGGGACTGATCACTTGTTATTGACGGAACTTTAGAATTCCTACCAAAAAAAACTGACTGATAGGGACTATATCCTCCAGCCACCTTCAACAAATTCTTAGTATTTGCAGCCCACACTTACGGAGATGATAATTTACTGTTTGCTGATCTGCCACAATTTTATGAATTATTTGATCTATTACCACCTGGTTCCTTTCACATACCTCATTATTAAAAGGGTTTTTTGCTTCCATATTTATAAGTATGATGTTCATATTTGCACATACAACTCTAAATTAACTATTCAGAAACCCTCCGCCCCCACACCAATGCCATCAATGATTCAAGACTGATCGAATTCATTTTCCATTTATTATCTGCACTTGTTTTCTTTACAACGTATTATTGTTGACTGACAAAACTGGGTTGCTAAATCTATAAAATATAAAATAAGAATGGCACAGTTGCTCAATGATAGTGCTAGGGACCCAGGTTCAATTCCAGCCTCGGGCTACTGTCTGTGTGGAGTTAGCACATTCTGCTCATGTCTGTGTGGGTTTCCTCCGGGTGCTCCAGTTTCCTCCCACAGTCCAGAAATGTGTGTGTTAAGTGGTTTGGCAGTGCTAAATTGCCCATAGTGTTCAGGGATGTGCAGGTTAGGCGGATTAGGATTATAGGAATAGGGTAGGGGGGGTGGGCTTGGATGGGGTGCTCTTCGAAAGGTCAGTGTGGACTTGGACAGAATAGTCTGGTTCCACACTGGAGGGATTCTATGAACGTTTATTTTCTTTATTCCCTACCTTCAAATCCATTGCTACTACCTCTTTGAAATCCCTCACTGGGACAGACTTTATTTAGGCCATAACAGTTTTCTCTTCTACGAGTTTACCATACTCCCTATTCCTTATTTCCTGCATCTTTTACTAAAATTTTTATCCTTTTAGAGAATGGATATGCAAATAGCCCATGAAATTTTAACACCGTTAACTTTTTGTCTTCTAAATTTGTCAGATACATTAGGGACATTTAAGCGACTCTTGGATAGGCACATGGATGATAGTAAAATGTAGGGTATGCAGGGTGGTTTGATCTTAGAATAGGATAATAGGTCGGCACAACATTGTGGGCCGAAGAGCCTGTACTGTGTTGTACTGTTCTATGTTCTGTGTTCGAAATTTCTACCCTTGACGTTGATAACAGGTTATGTTTCATGAAAGGCATACAATCATGTCACGATTGTGTAAATTGCAGATTTTTCAATACAATAGCTTTGTTTATTTTCACATCTAGTTTCACCAGTGCATCTTCATTGATGGCTTACTTAATAGCAATGGCATTTCACATCTCTGCAAGTGAGTCAGTTAGCTTAGTAAGCTGGACGCCTGGTTCGCCTGATGCAGAGTAATGTCATACATGGGTTCAATTCCTACACTGGCTGAGTTTACCATGAAGGACTCTCTTTGTCAACCTTTCCCTTGCCTAGGTGTGGCGACCCTCAGGCTAAACCATGGTTGTCTCTCTCTGATGAGAGGTCGGTTCTCTGGGACTATGATAACTTTGCATATTTTACATCTGTGCTAAGAAGAGGTTCGATTCTAGCTATTTTACAGGGAATGGTTACACTTTTCAAAGATTTTCATGTGTTTTTCATTCCCAAATCTGAAACTGGTGAAACTCATCTTCTTTATCTGAATCCTTATTACTCAGAGGCTAACATTTTAGCCAGTCTATTCCACACACTCTAAACTTACATCCACTGTGCAATTGATAGACTCTGCCACCGCTGGTCAAAACTTCTTTTCATCAATGTAATGCAGTCTCTTTGATCAGTATGTCCATCTTCTTCTCCCAATTTTTCTGTTTCATGTTGAGATTTATATCAGTTAGGATCGTTTATAACACAGCGATACTATGAGTTAAGTCTTAAACATTGATCAGACCCTGAGCATTCCTGGGGTTCATTCCCTTTTTGTAAATCCCAAATTTTGTTTGGTTCACAAAATGATGAATAATATTATTGTCCTAATTTCTATTAGTTATAGTTCTAATTGGGCTGTAGGCTTCCGAGAAGGAATATGAGGTGGTGCTCCTCCAGTTTGTGGGTGGTGTCATTGTGACACTGGAGGAGGCCTAGGATGGATATATTCCACCTCGGGAGCCGACAGCCTGATGGTCGAAGCATGGAATTCACCAGTTTTAAAATCTCCTGATCCCCGGCCTCATCCCATGTCCAAGCCTCCCTCTCATCCCTGCTTCCTTGACCTGACACAACCTGTCCATCTTCCCTCCCACCTATCCACCCCACCCAGGGAGTGGGAGGGGGTGTTAAAATCATGGTGACTGAAAGGTGTTGTCATTTGTCGTGTACAGAGCGCAGATGCTCTACGAAATGGTCTTCAAATCTACACTTGGTCTCACCGATGTAGAGGAGGCCCCATTGGGCGCAGTGGATGCAGTAGATCGAGTTGATGGATGTGCAGGTGAACCATTGTCTGATATGGAGGGTTTGTTTTGGGCCCTGAGTGAAGGTGAGGGGGGAGATGTATCGGCAGGTGTAGCACTTCCTGCAGTTGCAGGGAAAGGTGCAGGGTGTAGTGGGGTTAGTGGGGAGTGTGGAGCGGATGAGGGAGTCAAGGAGAGAGCAGTCCCTATAAAAGGCATATAGGGGTGGGGAAGGAAATATCGCTTTGGTTGTGGGGTTGGATTGTAGGCGCCGGATGTGGTGGAGAATGATACACTGGATGTGGAAGTTGGTGGTGTGGTATGTGAGGACAAAGGGGATTCTATCTTTATTTTTGTTGGGGGGAGGGGATGTGAGGGCAGAAGTGCGGGAAATGCAAGAGATGCAGTTGAGGGCATTTTTGATCACCAGAGGGGGTAAGTTAGGGTTCTTGAAATAGGAGGATATCTAGGATGTGCGGGAGTGGAACGCCCCATCTTTAGAGCAGCGGAGGCAGAGGAATTGGGAGTAGGGGATCGCATTCTTGGATGGGTGAGAGGAGGTGTAGTCAGGTCGCTGTGGAAGTCGGTGGGTGAGAACTAGATGTCGGTTTCGAGCCTGTTTCCAGATATGGAGATGAAGAAGTCCAGGAAGGAGAGGGAGGAATTGGAGATGGTCCAGGTGAATTTGAGGTTTGGGTGAAAGGTGTTAGTAATGTTGATGAACTGTCCAAGCTCCTTGTGGGAGCATGAGGCAGCGCCAATACAGTCGTTAGTGCTGCACTCTGTACGTGATAAACGACAACACTTTCTGGTCACCAACCATTTTAAATCCCCCTCCCACTCCCTGGGTGACATGTCCATCCTGGGCCTCCTCCAGTGTCACAATGACACCACTCGCAAACTGGAGGAGCAACACCTCATATTCCGTCTTGGGACCCTACAGCCCAATGGCCTAAAGATGGAATTCACCAATTTTAAAATCTCCCCACCCCCAGCCTCATCCCATGTCCAAGCCTCCCTTTCATCCCCGCCTCCTTGAACTGACACAACCTGTCCATCTTCTCTCCCACCTATCCATCCCACCCATCCCATTGACCAATCCCCACCATTGCCTACTTGCACTCAACTATCACCATCCCACCTACCTTCCCCAGCCCACCCCTCCTTTCTCTATCTATTTCCCAGCTCCCTTTCCCCTTCCCCATTTCTGAAGAGGGTCCCAACCCGAAACATCAACTTTCCTGCTCATCTGATGCTGCCTGGCCTGCTGTGCTCCTATGGCTCCACAATGTGTTGTCTCTGACTCCAGCATCTTCAGTTTTTGCTATTTCTGAGGTCAAGAACAGTGTTACTTAAATGTGGGATTCAACATAGCGATGGGAAAGTCCTTTGTAGTCATTTATTGCATTGTTTTATTTTGGTGTGAAGTGGTAGAATGGGATGCTGTGAGATCTAGCTAATAAGTAACCTCCATTCACCTGTAGCTTTGAAAACCCTGTTGTGGGGAATGCCGGAGAGAAAGATAGTCTTGTTGAAGTGAAAAGGCCTTTTTTTCTAAAGTCTGACAGCAAAGCAAGCTATATTAAGATAATAGAAGATATGAGGTTGTGTTTCCTGTGACCAGATCCTGAGAACAGGTCAGGAAGAAATCTGCTGGAATGCAAAAGGTTGCAAGGTATGTGTACTGAAGTTTTGCTTAATTTCACAGTGGCAAAATGCTTCAACTGCTTCACTGTAGTCCCGTAGTCAGCTGTCACATAGGAATTCCCATCAATAGATGTAGGTATAGATGATGGGATTATGTCTCAGAGCAATGCTGTGCTAACCAGGCATCCAACTAAAATGGCCCACACAGAAAGCATGCAGAAATATAAGCAGCTACCACTAGCAGTCAGTTTCATGACCATTTGATAACCCACTAACGGATGTTGAGAGCTTCCACCATCACTGATATGTGTTGGCAGCAGTCCCTAGCCCTCAGAATTAAGGATGGTGTTTTTCGTGTGACTGAGAAGCCCACCCTTGCATCCTCAAGTGTTTCTGTCGTGGGAAGGCAACATTGTGTGGGAGAATGGAATTTGCAGGCCAGGATTGGCTTCCTTCTCTTTCTCTGCTGCTATTCAGCCTTGCAGTCAAGTTGCTGAGCTAAGTGACTTGTGCATTGATGGGTCAGGAAGTGCCATGCTGAGTGGTTAGCAGCTAGTGTTGTCAATGCTTTCAGGTGACATTGAGTATATCCTTATACCTTTTCCTTTGGCTGCCTTTTGAGCAATGGCCAATGGAAGGAGTCCACCTGAAAATTAATGAATAGATGTAAAAAATAATATATTTCTTATTGACATGCAGGTAGTGCCTAAGAAAAACAATTTCTGAAAATATTAGTATATATCTTGTGATTATTCTGTTGTCGTTGTAACTGCTTTTATGCAATCTAATCTGGTAAAAATATTCTTTTTCTCAGGCTCTTCCGTATGTTGCCCTTCTTATAGCCATGCTGTTTTTCATCTATGCCGTAATTGGCATGCAGGTAAACGTTTTACTGGATGAAATCCTGGTGAAATTATCAAAATGTTTTCATTCTGTGTCTTATTGATAACTGTAATTCATTGAAAGTAAGGCATAAGTTAGTTGGAAATAACTGCAACTTAAGATTTTTAAAGTTTGTAAATTAAAGGGTTATTTATCATCTGAGCTCTAGTGATTTAACTTGATTTCAATTTCACTGATATAGAAGTGAGTAAGTTTTATTTGTCCAGACTTGAATGAGAAACAGAAAACTATCAATCATAGTTAACTGTTCACAATGTAGTGACAAAGTAGTTGTGTTTAATAGTGACTAAAGATTATTACCTGTTTTCCAGATTTTTGGCAAAGTTGCCTTGCAAGATCATACACAGATAAACAGAAATAACAACTTTCAGACCTTTTTCCAGTCTGTTCTACTTCTTTTCAGGTACAGAGCTAATCCTACCATTTTGATTAAATGTCACTATTTATTCATTTTATTTTGAAATGTCAATGTGATCGGTTGTTCCATCCATCCACCTAAAATGTGACATCCTCTTGACCATTATCTGACTCACCTTTGATGTCTGTTACCCTTCTCAACTATTAACAAATCCCCCACAACTACCAGCTACTATTCCTGCAGACTCCTCATCATCAACTGTTCACAACCTCTTTTGGTCTCCCATTCTGACAATTGATACTGTTGGCCTCACAATCAGGACTCATCCAAATCTCATGCAAACCCCAATGTGCCTCACTCTCTGTGACAGTCACACCTCACAATTTCTTTACTCTGTAGACCTATTGTGAAGTGGTCCCACGTATCGTTCAAAAACTCTGCTAGCCCTGGAAGACACAACATAAGTTTATTTTGTTCAAGTATTTAATTGTTTGCTCTTCTCAAACAGGCTTTCGCACCTGCAGAAGCTACAAGCTAATCAGCAGGCTGGCAGCTTTCCAGGCTCAGCAATGTCATCAGAAGCAGTGGCTACTTCTGGAACTGTAGCAAACCCATACTATCCCCAATGGGGGAGGCCTGGGATACCTGCCACTGGAGTCAGGAAATTCGGGGACTAAACATGGTCTGGAAAAGGGTTGAGCTTATCCCAAGCGCAGTGGGTCAATGGCCCATGCAGCTGCGGAGCCTTCCATTGGTCACATAGTGCCAAATCAGGAGAGACCCCGTTTCCCACTCTGCATCCCTGAACTAGCAAAGAGTCACCAGGTTGGGAACACACCCTGATGGCAGCAAGAATAGTTCTTGAAGTTGCCCATTGATTGCCCACTTGAGGGCCTTGATGTATCAAGTCTGGAAAGTGCACTCACCATGTACTCTGCCATTGATCAAGTGTCAACAGAGGTGAGAAGACAATAAGCACAGCACCTCCCACTATCCCACTTGATTTTTATACCACCACATAAAATTACAAAAATTGACTCTGTAGTAATTAAGTAAAATAATCATAATTTGCCAAGTCTTATATTTCGAACCTACGAGTATGATGATACTCAACAATTTTGTCAAATCATGAATTTCAAATATTTGACCTAATAGAACACTGCAAAGAAGCAGTTTGCTTGATTATTTTCAGATGGGTGTCATGGTGGTTCAGTGGTAGAACTGTCTCACAGCACCAAGGACTCGATTGTCTGAATGGAGTTTGCATATTCTCCCTGTGTCAGTGTGGGTTTCCTCTGAGTACTCCAGTTTACTCCCATAGTCTAAGGATGTGCAGGTTAGGTGGATTGGTCATGCTGAATTGCCCCCAGTGTCCAGGGATGTGCAGGTTGGTTGGATTAGCCATGGAGGATGCAGGGTTACAGCGATAGGGTAGGGGGTAGGTCTGGGTGGGGTGTACTTTGGAGGGTTGGTTTGGACTCGATGGGCCAAATAGCCTGCTTCTACACTGTAGGGTTTCTATGATTTTATGATAATTGTGGTTGGGACTTAGTGCTTTGTGGACCAAGTGTGATGCAGGGAACTTTAGGGGCAACTAGCTCCGTGTCTCCACAGCAAGAAAGCTTTAAGGACCAAGCACCAATTAGATACTTAAGTGCTGTTCAATGAGCTATTCATCCAATCAGGAGTCTCGCAATAAATATTCCACAGTGGCTGAGGCTGCTGTTCAATGAGAGGCTGGCAGACTTGTAGCTAAAGAATGTTGATGGAGGTCTGGGCAGTGGTGCTGTGAAGAGTTGTACCAGTGAGCAAGTGAGTGTTGTTTTTGGAAAGCTCATGATGTGAGGACTTACTGTATGAGAGAGTATCATAGGCAAGGGCAGGTGGGTAGCTTTCAGCTGCCACTCCTGCTCCCATATCTGCTCTCTGTCATTAGACTGAAGCAAATGAAATGCCATCCCCAACCAAGCAGGCAGGCGCTGTGGTTTCCCTGTCAGGAAAGCAGCCATATTTTCCACCTGCTGGGAAGGCAGATAATTGGCCTTGTGGCAGCTTGAGCCCTTTGTGTGGCCATTGGTTGACTGCTAAGGGCCTTAATTAGTGGCAGGTGGAGAAGGTCATCCTCAAACCTTTTACCCCAGATGTAATTGGTGAGATTATGAGAAGTGTCACATATCTCATTAGGTGGCAAGCAGCACAATTTTGCCCCAGATATAGAATCTTAAGTATGCCAAATAATATGCAAGGATGATCTGGTGTTTTCCATAAACATTCAGAAAATGAAGACCACAGAGATGATGAAAAAAATACTGTTTAATAACAACAATTTGTAACATAATAATATTCCCTGATATGCTTTATAAGAGCAATTTTCAAACACAATTTGACAGTAAGCCACATAAGGGATAGTAGAATTAGTGATGAAAATGTTGGTTGAAGAAGTTGGTTTTCAGGTGCTTCTCAAAGGAAGAGAAAGAATTGGGAAGTTTTAGTTAGAGGGTTACAGAGCTTCAGGCCTTGGCAGCCAAAGGGATCCTGAATAAAGTCACAATATTTTATTCAGGATCCCTCTATTGAGATTAAGTAATCACCTTATGTGTGAAAGGTTCACATCATTTCTGCAGCTAACAGTCTGCTGAACGTTGTCCTCAACTTCAGCTTTGATGTCATTGCACCCCTTCTAGACTGCCCACGCATTAAAACCATTACTCTTTGACCCTCTATGCACCTATAGTAGGGCTCTCAGCTCCACTCATTTAAGTATAAGGGATGCATGCAGTGTTTACGAGTACCTTCAAGACCTTTAGAGGAGGTGAGCTCTCAGCACTATTTCTCCCACCAACTTTATTTTCACTCCCTTTTTTTTCTTGTTATTGTGACACTGCCAAGGTGGGCAATGGGTGTTAATTGCAGTTTGATAAATTGTGAATCTCTGAGTCTTTTGCTGCCTAATTCAACATATGGATATGTGTATGTGAACTATTTAGTCCAGTTGATCTCATTATATCTTTATAGTGCCTCTCCACCATCATCCAGCGAGGCGGATCTGTGCTCACCGGTTTCCATTCGTAGAAATTTTCTCCCTCCGATTAGACATCTATCAGTGATTTCTCTACCATTTATGCATTGTTACCTCTGGTGTTTCCCAAAGATGACAGCCCCTTCCAACTTCTCATATGCTCGCTGTCTTGGAGTGACATCATGAGAAAACACAATGTCACTTTTCATACATACATTGACGATACACAAGTCTACCTAGCCACTGAAATAACGAGGTGTAGAGCTGGATGAACACAGCAGGCCAAGCAGCATCAGAGGAGCAGGAAAGCTGACATTTCGG